TTTAAATTATGTCCATCTACTGTTAGTGTCATATTGTTTAGACCTGGTTTAGTCCTGGTTTAGACCTGGTTTAGACCTGGTTTAGTCCTGGTTTAGACCTGGTTTAGACCTGGTTTAGACCTGGTTTAGTCCTGGTTTAGTCCTGGTTTAGACCTGGTTTAGACCTGGTTTAGTCCTGGTTTAGTCCTGGTTTAGACCTGGTTTTAGACCTGGTTTAGACCTGGTTTAGTCCTGGTTTAGACCTGGTTTAGACCTGGTTTAGACCTGGTTTAGACCTGGTTTAGACCTGGTTTAGACCTGGTTTAGACCTGGTTTAGTCCTGGTTTAGACCTGGTTTAGACCCTGGTTTAGTCCTGGTTTAGACCTGTTTAGACCTGGTTTAGTCCTGGTTTAGTCCTGGTTTAGACCTGGTTTAGACCTGGTTTAGACCTCCTGGTTTTAGTCCTGGTTTAGTCCTGGTTTAGACCTGGTTTAGTCCTGGTTTAGTCCTGGTTTAGACCTGGTTTAGACCTGGTTTAGTCCTGGTTTAGACCTGGTTTAGTCCTGGTTTAGTCCTGGTTTAGACCTGGTTTAGACCTGGTTTAGTCCTGGTTTAGTCCTGGTTTAGACCTGGTTTTAGACCTGGTTTTGTCCTGGTTTTAGACCTGGTTTTGTCCTGGTTTTAGACCTAGTTTAGTCTTTGTTTAGTCCTAGTTTAGTCCTGCTTTTAGACCTGGTTTTAGTCCTGCTTTTAGTCCTGGTTTAGTCCTGCTTTTAGACCTGATTTAGTCCCGGTTTTAGACCTGGTTTATTCCTACGTTTAGACCTGGTTTAGACCTGGTTTTTGTCCTGGTTTAATCCTGGTTTAGACCTAGTTTAGTCCTGGTTTAGTCCTGTATTTAGACCTGGTTTAATCCTGGTTTTAGACCTGGTTTTAGACCTGGTTTTAGTCCTGGTTTAATCCTAGTTTTAGTCCTGGTTTAGACCTGGTTTAGTCGTGGTTTTAGACCTGGTTTTAGACCTGGTTTTAGTCCTGGTTTAGTCCTGGTTTAGTCCTGGTTTAGACCTGGTTTAGTCGTGGTTTTAGACCTGGTTTAATCCTGGTTTTTAGACCTGGTTTTAGACCTTTTAGACCTGGTTTAGACCTGGTTTAGTCCTGGTTTAGTCCTGGTTTAGTCCTGGTTTAATCCTGGTTTAGACCTGGTTTAGTCTTTGTTTAGTCCTGGTTTTAGACCTGGTTTTGTCCTGCTTCTAGACCTGATTTTAGTCCTAGTTTAGTTCTGGTTTAATCCTGGTTTTAGTCCTGGTTTAGTCCAAAAAGTGAAAACAGTAAAATCCCTCTGTGTAATCCATTCATTTCAACAAAGTAACTGTAATCCAATTACCACTCACTGAAACAGTAACTGTAACTGAATACAGTTACTCATCATTTGTACTCTGATTACTTAACTCTGGTACATGTAATCTGTTACTCCTCAACACTGTCTGTCTGTAACCACAGAAACATCATCTGAGCTTCTGACGCAGCTTCTGACCAGTTCAAGATAAAATGACAGAAAATCAGATCATGATAAATAAATCTGGTCTGGACACAAGATAAACTGGACTAAGAAGAGACGAACACTGTGACATGAAGAGATAAAAACATGTCGTATCATCATGTCAAGGTTATTGTGTGAGCAGTGTTGGGGAGTAACAGATTACATGTAATCAGAGTACAAATGATGAGTAACTGTATTCAGTTACAGTTACTGTTTCAGTGAGTGGTAATTGGATTACAGTTACTTTGTTGAAATAAATGGATTACACAGAGGGATTTTACTGTTTTCACATTTCAGGCTGTATCCTCAGGTCTAAACTAGATCTAAACCAGGACTAAAACCAGGACTAAACCAGGAGTAAACCAGGACTAAAACCAGGTCTAAACCAGGACTAAAACCAGGACTAAACCAGGACAAGTTGAACAACATTAAAGCTTCAATGTGCAGTGTTGGGAAGGTGACTTTTAAAATGTAATCCCCTACAGATTACAGATTACATATCCCAAAATGTAGTTTGTAACAGAATCCATTAAATTACTTAAAGTGAGTAATGTAATCTGAATACTTTGGATTACTTGATTTTCTGTAGAGAAACAAAGACGAGAAAATTGTAACTTAAGATGTTTTGTCTGATAAAAGAAAATAAAAAGTCCAGACTTTACTGAACCAAATAAAAAATATTATTGATAGAAGAAGAAGAAACACGTCCACACAGCAGGATTTAGTCCTGTTAAATCCTGTTTTGGACTTGGTTTAGTCCTAGTTTAGTCCTGGTTTAGAGCTTGTTTTAGACCTGGTTTAGACCTGGTTTAGACCTGATTTAAGACCTGGTTTTAGACCTGGTTTGGACCTGGTTTAGTCCTGGTTTAGCCCTGGTTTAGACCTGGTTTAGACCTGGTTTAGACCTGATTTTAGACCTGGGTTTAGACCTGGTTTGGACCTGGTTTAGTCCTGGTTTAGACCTGGTTTAGACCTGATTTTAGACCTGGTTTTAGACCTGGTTTGGACCTGGTTTAGTCCTGGTTTAGACCTGGTTTAGACCTGATTTTAGACCTGGTTTTAGACCTGGTTTGGACCTGGTTTAGTCCTGGTTTTAGACCTGGTTTGGACCTGGTTTAGTCCTGGTTTAGTGTCTGGCAATGAGTGGAATTACCGGAAGAAAAAAAAAAAAAAGAGATACAGCCCAAAATGTGAAAACAGGAAAATCCTGCCATGTAATCCATTTATTTTAACAAAGTAACTGTAATCCAATTACCACTCACTGAAACAGTAACTGTAACTGAATACAGTTACTCATAATTTGTACTCTGATTACTTAACTCCGGTACATGTAATCTGTTACTCCCCAACACTGGTAACAATTCTCCTTAATCACGCTCTCGTTTTACATTTTTATTATTACCAACCACCACGAACCTGTATGTTCCAGTGTTTTATTAAGACAGTCCGGTTACCCTAGGTTGGGGTTACTTGTTATCTTCATCTCCCCTTAGTCCGCGTCTCGCGTAATATTCCTCGTATGCGTCACGCGCGTCTCGGGACTCGTATTAAAATCGTTCCAGTCACTGTATTTTTTCCTTTTTAATCTAACTACACACGGCAGGACTCTCCGACAGCGGCGCTCTGGTCTATTCTCAGCGGACCCCCCTCCCTCCTCTCTCTCCCTCTCCCTCCCTCCCTCCCTCTCTCTCTTCTCTCCTCCTCTTCCTCTCTCCACCCTCCTCCTCTCGTCTCTCGTCTCTCCCTCCTTCTTATTATCCACAAACCGAAAGCGGAGCGCGGTCAGTAGCGACGCGATGCTCCCCCGTCTCCCTCTCCTCTCCTCCGGTCTCCTCTCTCCATCCGGGGGATACGTCGCTGTTCGAACATGGGATTTTTACGTGGACCGTTTTACGCACGCGGCGCTCACGTACTTTATTTAGCGCCAAGTGAATGACAAGACGTGAAGGACGAGGATATTTTTGGGGAGGGATATTTCCGCGGAGAGAGAGAGAGAGAGAGAGAGATACGGTCCCGCAGGATGTAGGCTCCGGTCCGCGCATGTTTGGAAAGCGAAGTAACGGATCGTTGGAATAACATTGTGTTTTTCCCACACGCCGGACGCATTTTGGAGGATTTTATCGGGATAATTTTTGCTTATTTCACCCCGTTGCGTTGCAGTTTGAGCAAAAGTCATCGCTATAGCAGCAGGAGAGGTGCACTTGACACGGGACCAGCCGCTACGGAGCGATGATCGGTAAAGAGTTGCGTTGCACGATCTCAAGAAATTTGTGTCACGCGCAAAAGTTGAGTTACCGTTTTGGGATTTAATGTTGATTTTTGGAGCTAAATCGGTCTGAAAGGGATGGCTGCCGGTGGTTTGTCAGAGCTCGAGGCGTAATTTACGCAGTAGCCGTAAATTCGACTTAATTTACGGAGCAATAAAAGATAATACGCACGTGGGCTCGCAATTTATCAACAAAAATAACGACCCGTGCCTTCCAAAAGCGTTTGACAGGGTAGTAATTCAAGAATCGTAACATAATGTACTAAAACAAACCAAAAATTGTACGTAGTCTAAAAAATACACGTAGTGGAGTATTTAATCTTTAATAAAACGTAAAATTTAATGAAATATTGACCCCAAAACAAGTAAAAGTAGCTGGTTTTCTCGAAGATTGGATTATAATTCGAATTTTTATGCTCAAAATTAGAATTATTTTCAATATTTTGGCCACATTTAAGAATTTGAGGGACACGGGAACTTTAAGCAATAAGAAAGTATGAAAATATCACATTTTTAGTTTTTCTATGGAGGTATGTCGGCGTCGAAAATAAACACGATTCGACTAAAGTGAATTCATGGAAATTTAGTCACTTTGGCGCAGGTTTTGGAGTAAGATTTTCCTTAATTGCAGTTTTGCCCATTTGGGATTTCGTGTAAACGTAGAAAAGGTTAACACATTTCGGAAGGTTCGCGCGGCGGAAATTGCGATAAAGGTTTCAAACGACGGGATTTACATTGTATAAAACGTCCGTAATTCAATTTAAGAAATGAGATTACGGATTGATCGAGCTGGTTCAGATTAATCTCGATGATGGTTCAGTTTGTGCAGCTTTTGGGGGGTTCCACATGTACGTCTATGGTGAAATCTTCAGCGGTTTAACATAGTGAGACTCGGCGAACTCGGAGTTTTTAGATCGTTGGAAAACTCGAGACAAAAAACTGGATTTAAACAGCACATTTTCGGGATTTACGGACTCATGTTGAAATGTTTTACTCGTTCTTTTTGGTCAGATTGTGTTGAAACAAAAATCAGGTGAACGTCGAAGTTGAGTCACAGAGTTTCAGACAAAGCAGTGCCTCATTTTAGCTTCACCAACCCAAGGAATGTTTACGAAATTCGCTGCGAAGTATCCGTAGCTAGAAATAAGACAAAAACGACTAAACTTTGGATTTAGTTTGTGCACGAGGACGACGTCTTTGGATGGACTTTCAAAATGAAGTCGGTTATCTTCAGTCGGTTCTTCATCCTTCTCCCGTGGGTTCTAATCGTCATCATCATGATCGACATCGACACCAAACGCACGTTCCGCTCTCCGATGGCGCGCCAACGGGCCCAGCGGACAGCGGCGGCGAATTTATCGGCGTTGCCCATGATCTACGCCATCACGCCGACGTACTCGCGGCCGGTGCAGAAGGCCGAGCTCACCCGGCTGGCGCAGGCCTTCAGGCAGGTGCCCCGCTTCCACTGGATCGTCGTGGAGGACGCCTCGTCGAGATCGGATCTGGTGACGAAGTTTTTGGCGAAGAGCGGGGTCTCGGCGTACACGCACTTGCACATTTTTACCCCGCGCCGGTTCAAGCGGGCCGGGATGCCGAGGGCGACGGAGCAGAGGAACGCGGCGCTGACGTGGCTGCGGCAGCATCGCACCAGGAGGGACGCCGGCGTGGTGTTCTTCGCCGACGACGACAACACGTACAGTCTGGAGCTTTTCGATGAGGTAAGACAAACTAATTATTACTGTGAAATGTTTCTGTCACCCCTCAGTCGTCCAGGAACGCTCCATCGTTGTTTTTTTAAAAGCGCTGTGTCCGATTTTCGCCGCAAAAAACACGAAAAACAGAACTGGCTCATTTTAAACAGTTTTCATGTTGTCCAAAGTTATTCATCTTTTACCTTAAGCATTTTGAGCATCCCAATTATTCACAGTGATGGGTTTTTATAAACTCTAGTCACACCTCGCAGAGACCAGAGCTGAGTTTGGTCATGACTGTAAACATACACTTCCTGATTAGTTGACATTAAAATGGTTTCTAGCCGAGGTTTTAGGAGTGACTGGACAGTTAAATCTGCTTTTTCACTCATGAAGTTTAGGGGTGTGCAAAAATCAATATCAATATATCGTGTCGTTTAATGTGATGATACAGTATTGATATCGTGAGCTGCTGTATCGATTTATCGCCAAGAATATTTTATGGTATATTTTACTAAATAATTTTGTTACAGAGCTGCAGTTTTGTAGTCTGATTCATCAGACGGTTTCACTTTGTGGAAACCGTCTGCCGTTGCAGCATTAGGATTTGTTCACTTGACGGGTACTTTTTTTATTTAACCAACTGCTGCTATTTGGTCGTGACGTATGTAATGCTCCCCCTAACAGGGTTAACTGGTTTATTAAGCTTTTCCCAAATCCTGTAGGACGTAAGGACAATAACATCTTTCGCCTTGATAAAATTCACCAAACATTCTCTTTGTTGCGGCTTTAAATCCTCGATCTCGGGAATCGTTGCCAACACAGAATGTCCGACTCTTCGCTGATTGGTTGGTGCCCGAACTTTCACTTCCGGGGTTTTTGTGAACCGTCTAGTGTTTTCTGATTCTTGATCTCGTCGCTGGAGAGAAATGAAATTAAGCGGAGAGACTTGGTGGCGCCAGCTTGGGTAACAGGTTTGTTGTTTGTTCAGAGGAAGGAAACTCGTTTATGCGACACGTTTGACATTTTCACTGTTTTGATGATTAAAATGTTTGTGTTTCATATGAACTTTGCACAAGAAGAAGTGGTTTAACAAAGATTTTTAGTATCACAGACATGAACCTGACTCTCATTGGGGCACCTCCTGCTTGTTTTCATAGAAACGTTGTTATTTTGGCTCTAGTCTACCACAGGGATGTAACTAGGGGTGTGCAAAAATATAAAAATATCGATATATCGTATCATTTAATGTGCTGATACAGTATCGATATCAAGGGCTGCTGTATCGATATATCGTCAAGAGTATTTTAGGTATATTTTTACTGAATAGTTTGTGTAAGAGCTACAGTTGTGTTGACATTTTCACTGTTTTTCACATTCACTTTTCACAAACTTAGTAAACTTTTAGTATTAGAGCATCATTTAGCCTTTTTTACACTGAACCGTATCAAATCGATGTGAAATATATTGTATCGAACTGCATTGAAACGAAAGCTCACTGTATCGAAAAGCGTATCGTATCGTGGCCTATGTATCGAGATATGTATCGTATCTGTAACGTCTTAATGATACCCAGCCCTAGACATACGATAACGATAACGATATCCAAATCTCTCGATACGATATTATCACGATATGCATCTCACGGTACGATATTTACTGAGATATTTGGAGGAGGCTGATGTGATTGTGATTGTAGATGGACACAGTTTTGCTTTTAAAATACCTTGAAGGTTTTGGTGTGAATTATTTCCGTCATAATCCCAAGAATTCAAGTAAAAAACATTTTCTTCATGTTGTTTGCACTGAAATGAATCATGGGAAATGTAGTTTCTATTGTTTATAAGATGTTGCTGCTATAAAACAATGCATTTAAGCAAAAAAAAAAAAAAAAGTTGTAATTCGATATATTGTGAGAGCCCACGAGACTTTTGACGATACGATATCACGATATTTTGGTTAGTTACCTCCAGTGTTGGGAAGGTGACTTTTAAAATGTAATCCCCTACAGATTACAGATTACACACACCAAAATGTAGTTTGTAACATAATCCATTAAATTACTTAAAGTGAGTAATGTAATCTGAATACTTTGGATTACTTGATTTGCTGTAGAGAAGCAAAGACGAGGAAATCTTCACATAAGATGTTTTATCTGCTAAAAGAAAATAAAAAGCCCAGACTTTACTGAACCAAATTAAAAATATTATTGATAGAAGAAGAGACACGTCCACACAGCAGGATTTAGTGCTGTTAAATCCTGGTTTAGACCTGGTTTAGTCCTGGTTTAGACCTGGTTTAGACCTGGTTTAGACCTGGTTTAGATCTGGTTTAGATCTAGTTTAGACCTGGTTTTAGTCTTGGTTTTAGTCCTGGTTTAAACCTGTTTTAGACCTGGTTTAGACCTGGTTTAGATCTAGTTTAGACCTGGTTTTAGTCTTGGTTTTAGTCCTGGTTTAGATCTAGTTTAGACCTGGTTTTAGTCCTGGTTTTAGACCTGTTTTAGTCCTGGTTTTAGACCTGTTTTAGACCTGGTTTAGACCTGTTTTAGACCTGGTTTAGACCTGGTTTAGATCTAGTTTAGATCTAGTTTAGACCTGGTTTTAGTCCTGGTTTTAGTCCTGGTTTTAATCCTGGTTTTAGTCCTGGTTTAGACCTGTTTTAGACCTGGTTTATATCTAGTTTAGATCTAGTTTAGACCTGGTTTTAGTCTTGGTTTTAGTCCTGGTTTAGTCCTGGTTTTAGACCTGGTTTAGACCTGTTTTAGACCTGGTTTAGATCTAGTTTAGATCTAGTTTAGACCTGGTTTTAGTCCTGGTTTAGATCTAGTTTAGACCTGAATTTAGTCCTGGTTTAGACCTGGTTTTAGACCTGTTTTAGATCTAGTTTAGATCTAGTTTAGACCTGGTTTTAGTCTTGGTTTTAGACCTGGTTTAGATCTAGTTTAGACCTGGTTTATTTTGGTTTATTAATGTGAAAACAGGAAAGTACCTGTGTGTAATCCATTCATTTCAATAAAGTAACTGTTACCTAATTACCACTCACTGAAACAGTAACTGTAACTGAATACAGTTACTCATCATTAGTACTCTGATTACATAACTCCAGTACATGTAATCTGTTACTCCACAACTCTGTTTACATCCACAGTATGAGCATGAAACATCTATCTACATGGAGATGTTTCAAAGTGTGGTTGTGGCTTTGTAGACTTTCTGTTTCCGTGTTGATGTAGCACCTCCAGAAAGTCCCGCACTGTATCTTTAAGAGCATTCAGAATAGACTATTAAAATATTCCTCTGTCACAAACTTCAGGCCGTCAGAGGAGGAGGAGGAAGGTTGTGCTCAGCTTTAGAACAGCTTTTGCAGAAGAAGTGAAGCGGAGAGTCCACGTCACACGCCGACACACTGTCAGCCCCAAACACAACACCGCGCCGAGCTGGGGTTTTTCTGGCTTTATGAGAAATAAAAGTTTTATAGGTTACTCAGACGCAGACGGCGCACGGTGATCTGATTTAGTCTCAAAGTGCAGCTTTTACGTCGCTCTACAGGAAGTCGTGTGTCCCAGATTTAAGAAGAGGAGCCAGGCAGGTGGTAGACTCACCTGTTCCACTCGCTCGCTGCACAAATGACTTTATAGATTTAGAAACGCAGATGACACCAGACCAGGATCTCTGAGCGTTTTCCAATAAAACAAACGGGTTCATGGATTTATCAGTAACCTGATCGGGTCTGCGGGAGGGCGAGGGGGGCTGCATGAAAGAAGATAATCTGGAACATGAGAAACAACGATCAGATTGACTCTTGTGACATTTGAGTCATGTTAAAATATTGTTCCTAGGGATGAGCATTCGATTAAATTTTCTGAATCGATCGTCGGGAGAATTAACAATAAATTTTTTGATGAATCATTAACATTTTTATATTAAAATTGTCATCATTATTATTACTATTACTAATCTGCATAAATAAACTCAACTGTACAACATATAAACATAAAGATGCAAAAAAACCCAAGGCACTCACTGGTTAAAATAAAATGCCTTTATTAATTTAAATTAATTAACTTAGGTTTGTCCCCTGAGGAAAACCGTAGGCTGAAACGCGTCGGGACTTTGTAAGTTCGTCCATTAAGACGTGCTGTAAATTAATAAAGGCATTTTATTTTAACCAGTCAGTGCCTTGGGGTTTTTTTTTGCATCTTTTTACTGACTTCACTTCCCAAAGAGCAACACTGAGTTGGATCTACTGTGTATTATCCTCTGGACGTCCAGGAAGCGCTTCTTCTGAAACCTTTTTTATATAAACATAACCACAATAGAGCCACATCAGCCCGTTTGACATTATAATGTTTCTGTAAAACATTTATTTATGTTTTACAGAAACTAAACTTAAAACCACATGACTCATTTGCATAAACTATAAGCTCTGATGCAAACAGTTTTTTCCTTGTGTCGCTGATGTAGTTCAGTTTCTGTCGGATTAAAGGACACGACTCAGTGGAATATGAGTGTTCTTTCTGTGACAGAGGATGTTGATGATGATGATGATGTTGATGATGATGTTGATGATGATGATGATGATGGTGAGTGTGTTCTGTGTGTGTGTCGTGTTGGAGATGGTTCATGTTTTCAGAGATCAGACGTGTGCAGGTTTAGTGCAGCTCTTTATTTAACATCATTTCACTTTATTCATGTCGGTCACTTTATTTATTTTGCTTCTGTTGTGATGAAAAGACTGAAAAGTGTTTGTGTTTTGGACACATGTGACTCAACTTCATGTTGCAGTAACCGGGACACTGCGTTTACATGCACCATGACGAAACCGGGACAGTCCAAAAACCCGACCGTACCCAGAACACTGATGTGCTGTAAACACGATCACTGAGAGGAACAGAGTCTTTAAGGAGCCAGAGCCAAAACATGGGACTGTGAGACACAACTCCAGTGTTTGTGTCGGACACAGACTCGTCTCCTCACACTACACACAGACACATACATTCAGTTTGTCGATTAAAAATGAACATG